GTCTCAAGCAGGCTAATGTCTCACAGATTAGGATGTGTGCTGGTCTTACGTAATGTTGTTGTCATGTTTGCAGTCAAGATTTGGCTCGTTCCGCAGTGGCAGGACTGGAGGCCACTCTGGATGGCCACCTCTAGCCCATGATGTCATCGAGATACTGGGCTATCTCGGCTACGACACTGTTAGAGAGGTAACATTCGTGCATTATTACGCGATTAGTTACACATATGATAGAAGAATTGTTTATTGAAGACACGTGTTGTTAAGTTTTTGTTATTGTGTGCAATAAGTATGATTATGCCACACTTTGTACATGTCCGTTTAAAGAAGTTGTTTCGTTAAGGAATGTGGCAGTGGACTATACGATAAGGCCAAGCACAAGAGTGCAATTATTTTTCAATACTACTGCCACATTCAATCACTTTAAAGCCCAGATTCTGATTCTTCTGGGGGAGTTACAGAATACAGCCGTTTTATAGCGTTGGTAAAGTTTTTGCAAGGTGAATAGTGCAATACTTGTGTGTAGCATGGGAGCTCCCTGGAGGCAATACTTCAACGTTACAATATTAGTAATGCTGCCCGTCCCTCAGCTGGTGGAGCTGTCACTGCTGGTAAAACAGGACATGGAGAAAACCCGCCACAGCATCTCTCCCCTCCTCCCTCCCCTCTCCTCCTCACAACCCGCCCTCCCTCACCCCTCACTCGTCCCACAAGAGCCACGACCAACAGCCACTCAGTGAGTATACTTTCTTCAATCATAACACTCGACGGGCATGCGCAGCGTGGGTTATTGGCAAACAGGTGCGAGCTAACCTAGTCGTACCGAATGGCATCATTTCTATTGTATTTGTACGTAGTCTTCGTAAGTTCTCGGTATCTACATAAGCCTAAAAAGACTAGCAAAACATTATTTACCTACTGGATGACTATTTATTCCACATATTATAGTCTGTCACACATTCTTACAGTGTCTGTAGTAGCTAAACATGAACACGCTACTTGACATAGAGTACCATTAACTCAACTGGAGATGTCTTCCCCACCCTCCAATCGACACAGTCTGGCCTCTATAGGGTCAGAGGTGGGGGCTGGGGGATGTCTTAGTGAAGTATGGAGGATTTTTGAATGAGCAACAGCTACTGCGGCGTACTGCAACCATAACCCTCCCCAGAGAGGATCTTCCTGGTAGAATTTCAGTATAGCTGCCCCCTGAGTTGACTCCAGATTCACAGAAATAGTCTCCACCCACAATGGTGGGACTGTATGTTGATGCTAGCATCACACGGACATACATCATTCCGAGAGGGTGTGGCCTCAGAAAAACCAGCAGCAAATGTCCATATGTGTTGTCGTGGACTGCCATTGTGTGAGACTGACACCCAGCAACATAGGCTCCTTCTATTGTGGTCACCTCTCCATCGTCATAGGCCTCAAACCCATCCATTCCACCATACTGGTAGGCTACTAATAAACCCACACACACTAGTGTAGTCTCCTCCACTGACAGAGAAGAAGACTGAGTCACATGACGGCCAGTGCTGCTAGCTTTACCACAGGTTCCTCTTGAGTGACTAGTGAGCTGCCAGCCAGAGGGACAGTTGGTGTGGGTCTGTCATGTTGCAGTAGACCACACCTCTCCAACCTCCTGTACCTCCACAAATATTCGGTCCAAGAGATAATATGAAGAAGCGTGTTTTGCCTCCTGTAGTTCAGACATAAGTGTCTCACTATGTCTTTCTTGTTTGCTTCAACAGCAGCCAAACCTTCCCTCATTCAGTCATGATGGACTCAGTGTCTCATGTACTGCTGCAGCTAGCCTCACAACTGAGAGATGTAGAACATTTTACTGTCTCGCGTTATTTCCATCATGCAATTCTCACCATCACATTGACAAGTTCCAATCTGTAGTAGAGAGAAGATAAATCCTGTCACCACAACAACCCAGAGACTCTTCATTCTTTCTCACAAAATGGATATAGAGATACAGAAACATAGCTTTATGCCCAAATTGGAGTTGTCACCATCTCATTGTGTTATTCACCGTGTGACTATAAACTGATCTTTGCCATTTTCGTAACGGATATAATGCTATTATAACAATGCAAAACACTTCAGGAGAAATGCAATACCCTCAGTTGTTTGTCTTCTCAGTTTTCGATTTAGGGATAGACCTCACAATCACAATACCTCCTGTGTGTTGAACTTGTCAGATAGCTACTGACCGATGTGATACCAGTTGAGCTATATACCCAAAGAGAAAGTTGAACTTTTAATGATTACACCTATTACAACCTATTACAACCTATTACATTCAGTTTCACTCGTCATTCCAGTCTTTGATCTTATTGACCATTTCCCCCAAATAGACACCACCCTCCCTGTGTACATGTACTGTTGGCCCTGTCCATATTTCTCTTGGTGTGTGGTCTATGGTATTCTATGGTTGCTATTATACCTGTAAAATGTTGATTGAGAGAATCTGGAAGACAGAAATGATGACAGCACTGTGTTAGGTCATTCAGAATGTGAGAATGACCTATGTATCGGTAGTTGATGGTAGCTATGCAGCGAAGGTATAGCTTAGATATTGTGCTTCAACTGCTATAACCATCAGTCCAATGAGTGGGCAATTCAGAATGTGAGAATGACCTATGTATCGGTAGTTGATGGTAGCTATGCAGCGAAGGTATAGCTTAGATATTGTGCTTCAAATGCTATAACCATCAGTCCAATGAGTGAGCAATGTGTTTCTCAGAAATTAGCTACTAGCTACATCTTGTTTCCCATGCACCACCAGTGTCTGCAATGTTGCAGCTCCAAGGATACTTGTGGCTTGCTTTAGTACTGCTGTGGTAAAGGAAAGACCCACATGTCCTGGGCACACTGTGGAGGTACAACTAGATGTTTATTCTTTCTTTGCTCCAAATACTAGTCACTGATACACCTAGCATATTGGGATCAGCTCACTCCACTTGCCAAGCAAGCATGGGCTAGAAATGGAGCCGGGCCTCTTAGAACCGAGCGCCCTAAGGTGTCTGTGTCCATTGCAGTGAAAGGCACTATTAAGGGCTCCAGTTCCTAACACGTCTTATTGAAATACGAGCTCGCGATCCTACTCCAGTGCCGATGATAGTTACCAAACAGTTACATACGTACCTCTAAACTCCAAAGCCTAATAGCCAGTTGAATGCTACAATAACTACACAACTACACAGAGTCCTTCACTTCATAGTGTCAGTGTTTCTACTTGACATAGAGTTCCATGAACTCAACTGGAGAATCATCATCAGTCTCCCATCGACACAGTCTGGCCTCTATAGGGTCAGAGGTGGGGCTGAGGAGTGTCTTAGTGAAGTATGGAGGATTGTTGAATGAGCAACAGCTACTGCTGTTACCACAGCCTTCACCATCCCAGAGAGGATCATCTGCATAGAAGGTTTGATAACCAGGATTCCCTGAGTTGACTCCTGATTCACAGAAATAGTCTCCACCCACAAATGGTGGAATGTTTACACTAGCACCATTGCAAGGACATCCTTCATCATTAGTGTGAGTCTCGGTACGGGCTGCTGCAAATGTCCAGATGTGTTGTCGTGGACTGCCATGTGTGAGACTGACACCAGCAACGTAGGCCCCTTCTATTGTGGTCACTTGTCCATCGTCATAGGCCTCAAATCCATCCATTCCACCATACTGGTAGGCTCTGATAGAGCTACACACACTAGTGTAGTCTCCTCCACCGACAGAGAAGAAGACTGAGTCACAAGAGAGAATGCTGGTGTTAACTCTACCACAGGTTGTCTTGGAGTGACTAGTGAGATTCCAGCCAGAGGGACAGTTGGTGTTGGGGTCTGTCATGTTCAGGTAGACCACACGTCTCCAACCTCCTGTACCTCCACACTCATACACATGCTCAAGTATATAGTCAGCAGTCTTCTTCAGTTCCTTTGTAACATTAGTCAGTAGATTCTGTTCAAGTTCCTTGGCCACAATCTCAGTGAGGGAGTTTATCTGCTCATGGACACTGGTCATGTTTTCTTAACAGCAGCCAAACCATCCCTCATTTCAGTCTTAACAGCAGCCAGACCATCCCTCATTTCAGTCTTAACAGCAGCCAAACCATCCCTGATTTCAGTCTTAACAGCAGCCAGGCCTTCCCTCATTTCAGTCGTGAATGGACTCAGTGTCTCATGTACTGCTGCAGCTAGCCTCACAACTGAGAGATGAACATTTTTACTGTCTCGCATGATTTCCATAATGCAATATTTCTCACCATCACATTGACAAGTTCCAATCTGCAGTAGAGAGAAGATAAATCCTGCCACCAAAACTACCTGGAGACTCTTCATTCTCTCTCACATAATGGATACAGAGCTACAGAAACACAGCTTTATGCCCAAATTGGAGTTGTCACCATAACCATCTCATTGTGTTATTCACCGTGTGACTATAAACTGATCTTTGCCATTTTCGTAACGGATATAATGCTATTATAACAATGCAAAACACTTCAGGAGAAATGCAATACCCTCAGTTGTTTGTCTTCTCAGTTTTCGATTTAGGGATAGACCTCACAATCACAACACCTCCTGTGTGTTGAACTTGTCAGATAGCTACTGACCGATGTGATACCAGTTGAGCTATATACCCAAAGAGAAAGTTGAACTTTTAATGATTACACCTATTACATTCAGCATCATTCCAGTCTTTGATCTTATTGACCCTTTCCCCCAAGCAGACACCACATCCCTGTGTACATGTACTGTTGGCCCTGTCCATATATCTCTTGGTGTGTGGTCTATGGTTGCTATTATATCTGTAAAATGTTGATTGAGAGAATCTGGAAGACAGAAGTGATGACAGCACTGTGATAGGTCATTCAGAATGTGAGGATAGCCTTTCAATAGTTGATGGTAGCTATGCAGTGAAGGTGTAGCTTAGGTATTGTGGTTCAAATGATATTATGAAAGCTCTGTTATCGCTATAACCATGAGCCCAAGGAGTGGGCAATGTGTTTCTCAGCAATTAGCTAATAGCTACACCTTGTTCCCCATGCACCCACCACCAGTGTCTCCTGCAGGTCAGGGGACTGAGACTGTCGGAGAAACGGCACTCTCTACTGCCACTACCAGAGCTTCTCGCAGCCGCAAGAGAAAGGTGACTTACCATTATGTGGCTTATATAGTGAGGAGACAGTCTCCTTCCAAGATCTAAGGTTACTTCTGGAGTCAATCAACTTGCATACAATCAAATTGCGTACTCTGCACTGTCTCTCAGTCTCCACCCCCAGGGTGTCAGGAGAGGACCAGACGTCCAACCCTCCAGATGAGATCTGGACAGCCAGATCAAGAACGACAGGGGACCGGGGGATGTGGGGCGTGGCATACAGCCATCTCACATCAAAGGCACTTAGGAGACTGAGTGTCCTTCCGTCCCACTTCGCCCCTGGCGGTTATGCAATATGGGTAACACAGTGATAATCACACAAGTTCATGGCCTTGCATGCCACCATACACAATTGCACGGGGTGGGGTTGATAGTATTAGCGCATTAACCAAGAAAAGGTGAGAGAGAAAACTAATAATGACAACTGTGGGTGAAATCTTGCACATGCACTATCCCCAATAGGTAGATAATAGGTTGTCAGTATCCCTAACCACGAATGTACTTGTCGTAAGGACATGATATATTCACTCCACCCTGCCTTTTCCAACACCAATCTACACAGGCAAGATACAACAGAAAAACTCTCTTCTCAAAATGAATCGCGGGGAAATATTATTTTCACCTAGTGTAAATTCACTCGTATATAAAAAGGTAGGAACTCATACACTACCTCATCCCACGATAACACTGTATCTCTAATTTCTGACTAGCGTCATACTAGTCAATTAATGTTGCTGTGGTCGTTGCACACTGCCTACTCACTGTAAGCCTCTCATTATTACGGATTCTCTCTGCCCACATAAACCCTTTGCAACAAACAAAAAAGCCATTACTACAACACATTTTTATAAACGTTGTGCACAGATGAGTTGTACAAATGTCATACTCTTAGCCTAACTTCTAGAAATAATTATTATGTTTTCCTTAGCATTAACTGCATCAAAGAAAAACATGATCAAGAGCAATCAGAAATCTGATAAGCTTCGGCCACATCTGCCAAAAGCACCAAGATTTCCTATCCAGAATAATTCCAAAAAAATTTTTTTGGGCAAACAGTGTGTAGCTAGGAGTGAGATGGTACTGTGTTCCTCAACCACACTCTGATGACACTGTGTGAAAAATGTTACATTCTCAGAGCCCGATCAGCAAGTTGATCAAAAATTATGATCATTTTCTCATGTGAAGCGGTTATTTCCATCCTTGAATGCACCGTTATTGCCTCCAGCTGAATTTAGAAAAAGAGAAAGATATCAACATCTGGCAAGCGAATTAGTATGTTTACTTGCTGCTGGCTACCATTAAAGAATTCTGCGTGATTTAAGATATTTGTAAAGTTGAGGTTTTGGTGGTGTCTTGGTGTGTTACACAATGAGGAAACAGTAGCAGAAAAGGATCCATAACTTGAAGCACCAACCGCCATGCATTATACAAGTGGAAAAATCATTTCTTCAAAATGAAAGGGGGATATAGGGATGGCTTGAAGCACCAAAAAGGAAGAAACAAGGGGTCATTACACAGCAAAGTTGCACAAAGCTACATGACACCATCCCTATATCTTTGTTCGATATTAAACTTTGCTTATAAACAATAAAACAAAGATATAGGGATGGTGTCATGTAGCTTTGTGCAACTTTGCTGTGTAATGACCCCTTGTTTCTTCCTTTTTGGTGCTTCAAGCCATCCCTATATCCCCCTTTCATTTTGAAGAAATGATTTTTCCACTTGTTTCCACTATTTTTAACAGCTTATGACAACACTGCATTTATTGTTACAGTCACTCTGATGTTCATGGGCATGTTGTAGACAGGCTACCATGTAACTGTTGAAAGTAGTAGCTAATGGGGCTGCTAGTGCCTGAAGCTGGGGCTAGATACCGCATTCACCTCATGTATTGTCTTCAACAAGGATGTAATTAGATTATTGCACATGGTTGTGGTTTCATGGGCAGGCTTTGGTAATCAGGCTACAACCTGGGGGGGACAAACAATGAAGGCCCATTTGACTGAGCGCCCCCCGCAAGGCTCGCGTAACACCGTCAGACTCGCAAGTTGCTCTTCGTGCAAATCAACAGCAAGCTAGCCAGTTGGAAATGTGCACACTTACTTACAGAAGGTACTGGAGGCTGAGAGTTCCTCTGCAGGTCTGCCAACTCGCCTAGTAATACGCTCGCAAGCGCATTGGACAACGCCCCTGCCTGGCGCATGCGCGCGGCTCACTGATGCTGAGTTAGCAGCAAATGGCGTTGTTCAGTGTCGACCATGGAAGAGCTCCATGATCTACCGTAGTGACTAGCGGCAAGAAAGAAACGATCGCTTGATGTCCGTGCACACCTCCGGCGAAATTGGAGACCTTCAGTGAAAAAATCAGTGCTTGAACTGGTACTGGTAAGGAGATAGCGGGTTTAAGAAGAAGAAGAAGAAGATGAAGAATAATATGATGACACGAAAATCGTGAAATCGCGTATGAGCGAATTCTCGTGTGGACGACTGAAGGTGCGTATGAGGTCTTGGGGGACATGTATAGGTAGATATGGGCCCGTAGACTATTGGTAGTATGTTTGAAGGCCCGGGGAGTGATTCTCACCGATTTTTTAGTCGTGTTGTACGCGGATCACGTGAGATTTCACACGTGTCATGTCATCCCTATATTATAGAGAGTCTACCGACTCTCTAATATACAGTCTAAACATTCACGCATGAATGAAGTTAATACACAGTATATTATAGTGTAACATACATACTTGGTAAATCCAGAATGACTCCAGCCATTTCTTTCCCATCCAGCACCCCAACATAGGCGATATGAATGAAATAGGCAGGATGCGCCAGGGTAATGATTTGCTATGTACAATTTTGGTGATACATGCGCATAACATGAACACTGGCCTTAGCATATCTTGTGTGGTACGTGAATATCAAAAGTAACTGACTGGTGACCCGCTCTAGACTGCACATGGCTACCACTGCACACCTCCCTCAATGCCGATCTAAGAGACTGTGAAGTCAGGAGCCGCTGTTGCCAAAGTCCAACCCACTATATAGCAGAAGAGTTTCCAGGAGTGTCACCACGTACACTCGCCTCCAGGGTTGCCCCTTCCACCCATTCCCTCCAATAATGATAATCAGCACTGTATGAACCAGAGTGTGTCCACAAAAAAACGTTAAGAAATATACAAGCCTTATGCATTACATCATTGCAGAGAAATAGAAATAGCATCACACCCATGCACAAATCGCCTGCTACAGACATACACATAATATGTAGCTAGTTGTCTGGTTTTTTATCATAATAATAATAGTCTTCATAACAATTGGTACATAGGTTCTCCAACTCTGGTTTGGCATAGAAGGAACAGCCAGCTGTCTTGCATAGTACTCTCACGGCTGGTGCAGTAGTCTCATCAGCAGCTCTAGGTACCCCAGCCTGAAGTCCAATGGCGCCCCATCCTCCCATGATAACCCCCGCCCCCGACCCAGTGGCAGCCTGAGCCTGCCTCAACTGCATCCAACCCCCTGCAGCCCCAATCTCTTCCTGATAGCGGTTACCCAACACCCCACTCCCACTGGTATTTGTGCTGAGGTTAGTGGTTGGTCGATCAAAGTGTGCTGCATCGTCGTAATAATAGTCTTCATAACAATTGGTACATAGGTTCTCCAACTCTGGTTTGGCATAGAAGGAACAGCCAGCTGTCTTGCATAGTACTCTCACGGCTGGTGCAGTAGTCTCATCAGCAGATCTAGGTACCCCGGCCTGAAGTCCAATGGCGCCCCATCCTCCCATGATAACCCCCGCCCCCGACCCAGTGGCAGCCTGAGCCTGCCTCAACTGCATCCAACCCCCTGCAGCCCCAATCTCTTCCTGATAGCGGTTACCCAACACCCCACTCCCACTGGTATTTGTGCTGAGGTTAGTGGTTGGTCGATTAAAGTGTGCTGCATCGTCGTAATAATAGTCTTCATAACAATTGGTACATAGGTTCTTCAACTCTGGTTTGGCATAGAAGGAACAGCCAGCTGTTTTGCATAGTACTTTCACGGCTGGTGCAGTAGCCTCATCAGCAGCTCTAGGTACCCCGGCCGGAATTCCAATGGCGCCCCCTCCTCCCACGATAACCCTCGCCAATGGTGGATCAAAGTGTGCTGCACCCTGAGACGAGTAGTACGGCTGTAAATTTCCTACCCCATGCTGGGGAGAGGCGGGTGGCTTGGACTTCACAGTTTCCGTGTCGTACTGAGTGGCTGGTTGAAGGTGAGCCATGGCACCCCCTGAGCTCTGTGGTACAGGGCTGGTAGAGCGAGGCATCTTGTAGTGTGTCTCATAGGGCTGTGGTTGATCTGTCAGTTGGAGTCGTGTTGGAAGAGCTGTATCCAGCTGCCCACTGGTGTACGTGTCATAAGACCGACTGTTCTGCAACTGTTCAACGGTGGCTTGTAGTGTGTTGATCTGCTCCTGGAAGGACTTGTGCATGATCCTTGCCGTGTTGCGCTCCTCGCGATAACGGAGCATCCGCTTGTTGGATTCTTCGAGTTGGAGAGTGAGAGAAGCTACCTGATCTTGCCAGACACCGGTTGAGTCTTGGTTGGAGTTCTGAGCGGTTGCCTCTTCCAGAGCCATCTGGATACTGTGGATTGTCTCCTGCTGTTCCCGGTCTCTCTCCTGATATTGGGACACCGCCACTTTCAGCTGGTCCCGTTCGTTCATGTAGCGCTCCACGCGATCTCGGATTGCCTGTAGACTTCGTTCGTCTGTTGTAGCTTCCAACTGTACCTGCAGCTCTCGATTTGCCTCCTCCATCCTTGCGTTTATGGCCCTCTCTTCCGCCAGTATTTGTCTCATCTGTTCGCACTCTTTCGACTCGTCCGTCAGGTATTTCTGAAGAGCAACACAAAAATTAAACACTCAGCAAATGGGCTACCTGTCAAGTTTCCAACTGCATTATACGAATACAACACACTATTACATACATAGACGAATGTACAGTACATGCAGGCCTTCACTTACTAGTACTATCAGTATTAGATAAAAAGTATGTACTATTGCATAGACGAATGTAGGCTTGCATTCCCAGTACATGTAACAATAGACCATGTGATGCCAAGAGAAAAAAGATGGGGAGCTCTGGACAGCTGTTTTGGGCTTGCTAGCCCTCATCAGCAAAGCATACCGCAACTTCTCTCTCTGGCATCACGAGTTTATAAAGGCAAAGTTGAGCGCAGCACTTGTGGTTTTGAACTAATGAGATTCATCCCCACAAGGCTTTGCTCAGGCGCAGCACTTGTGGTTCTGAACTAATGAGATTCATCCCCACAAGGCTTTGCTCAGGCGCAGCACTTGTGGTTCTGAACTAATGAGATTCATCCCCACAAGGCTTTGCTCAGGCGCAGCACTTGTGGTTCTGAACTAATGAGATTCATCCCCACAAGGCTTTGCTCAGGCGCAGCACTTGTGGTTCTGAACTAATGAGATTCATCCCCACAAGGCGTTGCCAGTACGAGCCAAAACCCGAATTCAGCATGCTGACATGTATAGGTATCAGATTTGGTCGGTGTAGTGAGGTGGATGCATGCGTAGCGGTTACGTACCTTTCAAGGTAATTTGTCAATCCTATAGGCTTGTCATCAGCTATGAAATCTGGGGGCTTAACTACCAGAGATCAGATGCATACGTACTGTATGTACCTCCATAATCACCTTTTTGTCCACTACAGTAAGTGAGCACCAGATCTTTACTAGGTGATTTTTAACTGGCATTAATGGCCCAGAGAAACTTGAAAGCTTTCACTGTCTTAGCTGCAAGCAAATAAGTGGTGTTCTAAAGTGGATGCACAAACAAGTACTTCGCCTTTACCATAAAGTTACCTGAAGTTGTTCTTCTTTTTCCTTCAGCATTTGTAGCAACTGCAGCTTGTGTAACTGGGCCTCTCCCTGGACCAGAGCTGCTGCCTGGCCTAGAATCTGCTGTACTCCATCAATTGTTGGTCGTCTCTTTGGCATGTTCTCCAGGCAGGACTCCATTAGCTGGATTAGTGGGTGGGTTTTGGTAAACTCTCTGTACAGCTTCTCGGTGTAGTTTTCGCGGCGCTGGAGTTCTGTTCGAGCCAGTAGTCCCTTCACCTCATCTGTGTAATTTGGGGCCTTAGGATTGTCTGGAAACGTTTCTGCCAGAACGAAAATGATCAGGACCCCCAGAGAGAATATGTCGATTGAAGTGTTGTATTTTGACACGTCTTCCAATGCTTCAGGAGGCATGTAGATGTACGCGCCAGGTGCTTTTGTCATGGTGGCTTTTATTTTTGGAGGCATAATTCTGGCCATGCCAAGGTCGGCAATCTTGGCCGTCATTGCTGAGTTGAGGAGGATATTTCTTGCGGAGAGGTCGCGGTGGATGACGGGAGGACTCTGATTGTGGAGGAAGGTAAGGCCTCTGGCTATGTCCTGCAGAATTGAGACCTTTACGCCCAGGGGAATGGCTACGCTACTGGAGTTAGGTTCATTAGGCTGTAGTATATTGTGCAGACTGGTCATCATCTTCTCCATCACTAAATAAAGGCTTGAGTCGGCATCGAACCAAAGACCGAGAAACTGAACGATGTGCGGGTGGCGGAGTCGGCTCATCATTGTACATTCAGACAAGAACTTTTGGATGTTACTGTCGGCCACCTCCTTGGCTAACCAATCTGGGTCCTGTTTCGTCAGCCAATCGTGGATTTTCTTGGCCGCGCAGAGGGCCCCCGGAATCGCCACTTCCACGACATCGCCGTAGGATCCCCTGCCGATCGCTTTGCCCGTCCGAGTCACGCCGTGAAGTACCAGTGGCTGCAGGTTACGGTAGGGAAACCGCCCTTCAGTATCTGGGTCAGCATCCATAGCAGTGCACCACGCCCGGTGCAACATTCCTCGCCCCCACAGGTCACCGTTCTGCGCGCATGCTCAGAGCGCTGACATTCGTATCCAGCAAGCCTTTTAGGCCACATTTTCCACAAATGCTATTTGCACTGCACCCTTCAGCTAACGCGAATATATTCAGGATATTGCATTTACCTGACATTCATCCTATATAGGTTATTTTGAAAAGTACGGAAAATTTAGGGCACACTATAATATGAATGTAGGCCACTCTATTTCCATAAACACCACCACTCTTCAGCTATAGCAAAATCTTATTCTTTCATCCCAGTTGTTTTGGTAAGTACAAATAATTTAGGCCACTCAAAAATAATAATTGCACTGCATCCTTCAGCATTGTCTTATGCCTGTCCACCACCTCAAATTTAGGTCACCCTCTGTATTATTCTACTGCACCCTTCAGATATGGTAAAGGTGTTTAGGATATTGCATTTTCCGGTCCTTCATCCTTCATTCTTGGTAAAAGTACGAAAAGTTTATGCCATTTTTTTTATTAACGTTTACACACCACCCTTTAGGTATTGAGTTTACCTGTCCTTCACCTTACATTCCTTTTTTGAAGAACAGGAAATTTAGGCCCAGGTGGCTGGGGATCATGCGACATCGCACACTGTCGAGTGTCAGTCAGTACATGCCCACCGTCATCAGATGACATGCAATCAACAAGATGCAATGGCTACATTTACTCTCTTTTTAGCTAGTCTCGGTCCCAGACGCCATCTTAAAATAGGGGTTGCTATGTATATAGACGCTGGAAAAAGATTTCGTATAAGATTTCATTTAGCTACCAAACAGAGGGAAGAGGAGGAAAGTATGTGGAGTAATGAAAGGATGTTGGGAGTAGTGGATGACCAAGTCCAAGAGGGAGTCAAAGGTCTCGGAGGTAGACAGACCATACCTCTCATTCTCCATTATCACCTTCACATGCTTCACCCCATCACACCTGTGTTTAATAGAGCACACTGCTGCACGAGCATTTTGACATAGATCTATCATGCTGCGGCAACCTCTTAATCTTGCATGTCAAGTATGCTACTCCTATCTGCCTTGAGTATAATGCAGGCAACAAGGGATGGGTTTCCGAAGAAAACATTGCTCTGTAATCCCATGAGCATATCTGCCAATTTGGGGCTAGTTTTGAAACTTACACAATGTCTATTGTATGCATGTGTATCCCTCCTTCTGGATGCTTTGTTGGCTGGCTGCTAGGACGACAAATAAATGTTCCGTCTTCACGGCCGCTCAGCAGCTCAACTGCTTCATCCCTGTGATTATTATAATTATCACTTCATTGCAACCACACTCCTCTCCCATACCTTTCCCTATTCTATGGTGTGTATGCAGCAGCTATGTTTATGTACCTGGTTAGATCTCTGTACCAGTTTTCTTTCTTTCTGTGAGCGGGTAACATGTCTTTCTTGTCTTCTTCATAATAGTACTTCGTGAGCTGTGAACTTATTGCGTGTGACTCGTCAGCAATCACACTCCTGGTCATTTCTGGAGGCAGCGTAGCCATGTCCTGCATAGTTTACCCCTCGAGATTATAGTCTTCCATACATTGCATTAAGTTATGTATTAATGGTATACATAATATTGGTAACATTAATAGTGTGTGTGTGTAACTTGCCTTGTGTTTGATGTGAAGACTGCGAGGTGTAGTATGTGGTTTCTTTCTCCCCTTCATATCGCTCCTCCTCATCCTTACTGGCGGATCTGGCGTAAAGCTCTGTACAGAAAAGAAAATCGCTGGCAATGGTTTGATTCCAGATTGTTGCACACCTTTTTTAAGAGTTCGAGGTCTTGCATGGATTTCTCCAGCATCTGAATCAGCTCCAGGTTTGATCTGGTGTGGTGGCTGTCAGAGACGCCGCCCAGAGCTTGATCTAGGAGCTCTAGAACAGTCTCAGTTGATGGTCGTTTCTTTGGTGTGTTGTGCAGACACGACTCCATCAACTCTTTTAGAGGATGGGCGGTTGGGAAGGCGGTGTATATCGTGCGTGTGTATTCCTCGCGACGCTGAAGCTCTGTTCGAGCCACAAGTCCCTTTCCATCGTCAGTGTATGTTGGAGCTTTCAGATTCTGTGGAAACTGCTCTGAGAGGACAAACACTACAATGACACCCAGAGAGAAAATGTCTATTGAGGCGTCGTAGGAACAACTGTCGTCTAGTGCTTCAGGAGGCATGTAGACCAGTGCTCCAGGTGCCTTGGTCATGGTGGCTTTGTCTATGGGAGGAATTATTCTGGCCATGCCGAGGTCAGCAATCTTGGCCGTCATTGCTGAGTTGAGGAGGACATTTCTTGCGGAGAGGTCGCGGTGGATGACGGGAGGACTCTGCTTGTGGAGGAAGGCAAGGCCTCGGGCTATGTCCTGCAGAATTGAGACCTTTACCCCCAGCGGGATGGCTACGCTACTGGAGTTAGGTTCGTTAGGCTCTAGTATATCGTGCAGACTGGTCATCATCTTCTCCATCACTAGGTAGAGGTTCGCATTGTCCTCGAACCAAAGACCGAGAAACTGAACGACGTGCGGGTGACGAAGTCTGCTCATTATCTTGCACTCGGTCAAAAACTTTTGAAGGTAGCCTTCGGCTACGTCTTCTGCCACCCACTTGGGGTCTTGTTTCGCCAAGCAGTCGTGAATTTTCTTGGCCGCGCAGACGGCGCCCGGAATGGCCACTTCCTCGACGCATGCACGTTCCAAGATCGCTGCCGTGTCTTGCCCGTGCGGACGACTCGCGGAGCGTGATAGACCGGCAGCTCGTGGTGGGAACGAGCTCCGTCCGAAATAAACGACATTGTAGCTAGATAGCTACCGCGAGTAATGCGCTCTGGCCTTTAGGTGCTGACTGTTGTCTAATTATGGGTCACACTTCGCACTCCGTGCACACTCATAGCCATAATAGCAGCTGTATCTGTGTATTATACTGTAATGGCTCAACAGCGCGCACTGTTTGCTGCTCATTGACACTCACTCGTGAGTGTTCACATTCTCCATCATCTATCTCGCGCTGTGGTGAGACACGCCTGCCCGCTGTCCGCGAGCTAACGTGTTAACTGTACAGATCATCATCACTTCGTGAGCTCCCGAAGGTTTCTCACACGATCATTCATATCATAATTGCGTGACTTTAAATCCGATTGCACCAGTCCATACTCATCAAATGCTTAGAACTTCTACGCATACTGAAGCGAGGCATTACCCAATAACGAGTGTGATGCGCGTGCGTCGGGCTCTCACGCTCCATCTCCCATCTCACACCACCTCTCGTACTAATTCGAACGGATATCAGAGCGATGGAAGGAAATATTGATTTTCTTGTTGTGTCCTTAAAGTCTCGGCGATGGATCTTTTTCTCGCGTTTGATTGACAAACAAAAGCCAAGTATAGCTCCGAGAAGTCCAGTGGTGACCAGCTAGACACTCAGTGTGAGACACCATTCTGCCCATAAGTAGTAAGTGACTGTTGGCAAAATTTCACGACCTCATAGTGTGGTGGCATAGTCCCTGAATGCGTAGTTTCCACTTCCACGACTCGGTTACTGATTAGAAACAGTCCAACAAGATAGAATGCAAACTTTCACAACAGGATAAAGGCTATCGCAACAAGTAGACCTCTCACTCCGAACAGAACCTCTTGATTTTTGCAAAGCGATTGAAAATTGATAAATACGGCAGACTTTGACGAGAATAGTGGCGATTATTAAGATCTTGCAACCGGGATATACTGTTCCAGGATTCTTTCTCAACGATCGCTGATTCCCTGAAATTCGATCTCTCTTAACCGTAACGAATATCAAGGCCACTACACGCCCCTCCGTCTCGCTGCATGGTCGAACGTCAATACTTACCGGCTTTCGAGCTCGTCCACTACCTGTCGCACCGCTTGTGTTCGCAACGAACCTCATCATGACATGACCAATTCGCTCGTCACTCTGATTTACTTTATTTACTTACCTTTTTGCTACATTGCCAATATGTTAGACGTTGCCTTAATCGTTGTTAAACTCCTACTGGTCGCCACTCACAACGTCGTGATTCTCCAATCCACATGATTTGTGTAGAACGTATCAGTCGCATTATCACACTGTCTCGATCTATGCGTCTGCTAGGACGCTCCTCTCAATGTATCGTCTCCTAATTCGAACCCATGCCTGCCGAACGACGCCCCGTCCATGGCCGATACTCATCTCAATGAGCCAACTCTCTTCTGCTTTCGCGGCTGGGTCCATAAATCCTATACGCATGCCATATATACTTCTCTGATTAGTTCTCGCACCCGGCGGCGATTTGTATATGCGCTGCTACATGACATAGTCAGACTCGAGCGGCTCTTGCTCTCCTCTTGCCGGTAGTAAACGTCGAGCAGTACGTTTGCTAAGGACAGAGGGAGCATAGTGGTGAGACAAGCAGTGAGGAGTGGCCCTCACCAGGCATGCCGCTACGCTCTCTAGTCATTATCCTCTTGGTAGTTCTTTGACAGTATAGAGACATTGACGCTGCTCGTCGAGCTAATCGCGCGTTTCATCGTGCACCTGTCATGAACATAAGCTCTGAGAGTGGGTAATAATACCCAGTGTCTTTCATATCCATCTACTGTTGGAAAATGGCAATTTATGCTCCGTCCATGAGTCCAGCTCTGTTGGAATGTAATTGTTTACTGGAAAGAAGGGTTAGTGGTCCATTGTGTGTCCAATCATATTGAGAGACTTCTTTTGAGCTATGATTATGGAGAGCTGGGAGTCGCGAAGGCCCGCGTGCTCCCTTGCCAAAAAACATTGGACTTTGGGAAATGTTTGATTCAGGGGAAAAGAGCTGTGGCCAGTTACTTTGTACACGTTGGTAACGTCGATTCTAGCGATATAGTACACACAATATCACTCATCTGTCATGGATTCTCAAAATCTCATTCGCAGCGCTGTACCTTTAAGCCACACAATAGTCGTCGCTCTTCAATCTCTCCTCATGTGTTGCTATCCTTCAATCTGTTCGTCTATGATCAACACACTATGATCTCTCTCATATATACATCTCCTCGCGATAGAAAGATCTGATTAAAGTGCGGATGGCTCTTACTTGCGTTACCGATGATGGCCACAAGCCTTCCCTGA